ACATTGTTTCAATTAAATATTTATAGCTGCATAAGTAGGTAAAATTGGTTCAAAGCCCCCCACATAAATTGCTTTTCTATAAATGGCTACCTGAAAGAAATAAAGAGGAAGGAATTTCTTGGAATTTCCCCGAAACGTCCGTTGTGTGTAAACAATTATAATAGGCTTGAAATGAAATTTTAAGCTTTTCATTTCTGTCACATGCGTGGTAAAGATAAACATTGTTTGTGGAGGGGGTTGAATCGAGGGGGTTGGGACTGAGATAAAGGCGAACGCACACTGAAAAACACACGCAGATGCAAATTGACATGTGGCTGACGCATTTGTTTACCCAAGCTGAATATGAAATGTTTGTGGGAGCTGAGACAGCGGTTGGGTTTCGTTTGGTTTTCCGGGTTGAGCTCTCTGGGCTTTTCGAAAAAGCAGGCAATTCTAATTTCGGAGCTGCTGGATCTAAGCCATCTGCTTTCGAATGCGAACGCCTGCTGCCACTGCGGTTGCCATCGATAAATAATGCTTTTTGTAGCATGCTTTCAGGCGCTTAAGATTGCGTGCGATTACGTATACGCACCATGGGCACTTGCGTGTGTTTGTGGTTGTCATAAATCAACATTTACATCGTGTTTATGTTTTTTGTGCAGCTGACAGACCGGAAAAGGTAGAAGGAAAACTTTCAAAGGTAAATGGTCGCTTGAATGGTTTAGGGGCGGAAAAAGGGAGGAATTCCAAATGTCGGTTTCGCATTTAATTATAGATTGTGCGTGTGTCTCTCGTTCCATTGTGCCTAGATTGACGTGGGTGAGATAGAACCCTGAATGGTATTTCGTTTAGAGAGATATACAGGGAACAAATTACAAATTACTTCATTAATCGAAATCATCAGCGTGAATTTAACGCTGATTTCATTTCGATTTAATGCCAGCCGCAAAACGGTGGCTGTTTTCCTGTCAATTAGGGCTTATTTCCATTTGATGTCCATATCGTTTTCAATTTTACAAGTTTGCAATAATCATAATTATTAGGCAATAATTCAGCAATTTGTGTCCAAAAGAGAAGAGAATTTAATTAATTTTTGGGGTGACGCCGCATTTGAATTATTTCATATTGTCTTTTCTGAATTATTAATTCCTGCTAATGCGTACATCCGCTGAATTACATTATTGTTTAATTTCACCATCTTTCCATGTTTGCGGTTCAACTTCCTGTTACCCTTTATGCTGAATTCATCGTCGCTCGCCACAGAACATTAATTCGCCTAACCCTAAGAGCAAAATGTTGTCAGGACCCTCTGTTCCTCGGAAGTGCGTCCAAATGACTTTTCATTTAAGGCTCTCACGATTATTCAGCTCAGAGTACCATTTCCACCCGGGGAGTATATGTGTATATATGTATGTACATCTGAAAGCAGAATGGGAAATGGGAACACGAATGGGAGGTCTTTCAATTAGCACATAAAAGCCCAGCATGGTCGACATGGCCATGTGGGCTTGTGGTTAGCAAAGGGGATTCAGACTTGAAGGGAGACGACTGCAGACTTGTGGTCTACATATTAAATTAACGGCTGCTGAATTAGTTTTCAATGTGTTCGCCGCTGAATGGCAGTTTGAGAGGCACTCAACCTGTTTTCCATGGCGCTTTTCCTTGCTGCTCGGCAAAGGCACTCAAATTAAATGCAGATGACGAATAAAAGTTTTTTATGTCCCTGTGGCATTTCGCCTACTTCTACTTATATTCCCATTACCTACTTGTGTTATGAGAAAAGTTGTCCAAAACAAGGGAAACTCATCACAGATGCTAATGATGTCATGCACTTGTGGGCCTAAGAAGCTCGAAGGCAAATGAGAAACTCATGAGCGAAATTCTAGATTATTTCATGGCTTTCCAAAGTCTGCTAAACTTTGATGGCAATACATTTTAATTGCTATTTCTTTATTCGGGGTCATTATTCCATCGAACTTTTAAAACCAGATATCCCAGGGGTCTGGGTCCCCTTTTCAATCCGCTTTGTTGCTCTCATTAAAAATGCATGTTCAGCAACACGCTTTCTAAAAGGGTTTAGGCTGGACTCCCTAACCTTGAGGTCAGCCCTTGGTATTTTCCAAATTTACCTTTCGCTTGCCAAAGATCCAACGTCATCATAACAACTTTGTTTACTGCGCTTCGACCTGGCCTTGACTGCCGAACCGAATCTCGAAGCCCTGAAAACCCTTGGCCTTTGTTTACCCTTAAAAAAATACGGAGACCAGAGAAAACAGTAGAAAAGCAAAAAGAATATTTCCTAAGCTCAGTGGATTTTCATTTTTATGTTTCTCTGTGTGTGAGTTTTCCCGGTTGCACGGGCTGAAACCGCAAAGTCATAAGCCCATTAGCCAGGCCGAATAGAGACCAAAAAGTGGTTAGGACGGGGATGCAGGGGGCATTGTTTTAGGCAGTCCTTCGAGGGATATTTCCCCAACCGCTGGCATGACATTGCCTTTTGCTCTGTTGATGCGGAAAATGAGCAAGGAAATAGAGAAAATCCAGCACACACACAAACGCAGTGCAAACACACGCACAGGCATGAGGATAACGACACCGAGGTAACAAGGACATCGCTGCCGACGACATGGTCTTGTTAAGTTAAATTATGCATGCATGCCACGCCCATTATTACACGGAGGGCGGACCCCACCTGAGCACACCTTGGCATTCGATAATTGAGACCCAGGTGGGAGTGAGAAGGGCTTGCTGGGCGAACAATCAAAACTATTGATGACAAGCTGCTAAACACGTCGCCACACGGAATGCAAATCATTAAATTAATCGAACAAGCCGAACATCAAAGTAACCGCACAATGTTAAAAGCAATTTTGCGGTTAAATGAAAGTGTACACAAAACACCCGAATAAAATATATTATAATTCTGTCAAGTGGATGGGGAAATAAGGCCAAAGAACAGCTGCAACATTTGGTCAAGAAGCTAACAGAAAACATTTGTCCAATAAATAAAGCCACAAAATGCTGCCGCTCTCGGAATATGCAATTTGTTTGCCGGAAAGTGCAGAAAGCAACCAAGGCAAATGGGCAATCGAAGTATTTATTTACTGGGCTTTGGGAGGGAAAAGTGCCTCCAGCTTTTCTCTTTCTCTGCAATAAGTTTGTTAGATTTAACGAGGACAAAAGACAAACATTTTTCAGTCCATCTTTCGATCAAAATTAAATTGATGTATACAAATACTTCACTACTACTTTTCTGATAAATAAATATTTATTTTCAAAATTGGGTTGCTTTATCAAAATAAAATCTTTCTGCAGAATTAGTCCAATTTAAAACGTGATATTTACATTCAAGTTATAAATAAACTATTAACATATATATATATTTATATACACATTTGGGTATTTCATATTGAAATTGTGTTGCTTTATCAAAATAAAATCTTTTGCAGATTTAGTCCAATTAAAAATGTGATATTTTCTTTTAAGTTATAAAGAAACAATTAACACATATATGTATTTCTTGGGTATTTCATTTCAAAATTGTGTTGCTTTATCAAAATAAAATCTTTCGCCAGAATTATTCCAGTTATAAAGAAAACTATTAACATATATACATTATACAATTTTAAGCATAAACGAACACATTTACGAATTTTACAAATTAAATAATTTACAATAAAATGCAAATGCCACTTATTTCTCACAGACAAAAGCTTTCAAAAAGAACATGCATAGTACTTCTGCTCTTTCAATTTAACAACTTTCACAAAGTCTTATTAACAAGAAAGCAATGAAGAAGGTTTTGTATTCGAGATACTCAAGGGTAAAGTTTAGGGTGAAAGACAGGGAACTACCGAACTAACAAATTGAAATGCAAAACTCATTCGCAGGCGACTGTCTCTCAAACTGTCTATTGCTCAGCTGCCAGAAGATGTGCCTTCAAGCTGCTTTCTTCTCCTCGCCAACACTCCCTTTAAATAAATAAATTCCTGCAAATTTTGCAAAAAATATATAAAATTGTAGAAGGGAAAAGTACGAAATGTTTTGTCTTGAGGAAAAGTAGCGAATGCGAAATAAAAATAGATAAACAGATGAAGGAGAAGGGACTGGCAGACAGTCGGGGGAATAAAGTGAGGAAAGAATGCGAACGGCAGGGCCAACAATTTTATGGCCCGAAGGATAAGCGTATTACAACAAAAAAACAACAATGGCAGCGGGGCAACAATACACAAAATTTATATATTTTCGAACGAAAAGAGGGTTCCAAAGGGGGTTTTGAAATGTTAGTTTCCTTGGCGCGTGCAAACAGTTCAAATATTTTTAATGTCCGTCTGCGTGTGGATTAACATAAAATCTGCTGTCCCTTGCCATTCAGACCCCAAATTTAAGCCCGTTTTCCCCCGTAAAACCTTTTTCTCCCGCATAAAGTGATGTATTTACAAGTTTATGTCCGCTTAGCTTTAAGTGCGTACGGATACCCCCTTTTTTTTGTATTTATACCTTGAAAATGTCTTGATTTGCAACAAAGGCCAGGAAGACCGAGAGCTTACACTTTTTATGAGCTTTAAAGAACGAGATTACCAAATTAAATTGTTGGAGCTCAGTTAAGTTTTACGCTAAAGGTAAACGAAATGGTATCATATTTATAAGCTACCTTTAGGAGTATTAAATAATCTTCTTAGTGAGTCATGGGACGTCGGTAGTTTGTGCAAGTTTACTCTACATTTATATTGGTTAAAATTGTTTGAATTTAGGGATAACTGACTTACACTTTTACACAAGCTTATAAGCTAAGTAAATAATAATAAAATTAACATATTAAGAGTGAATTTTTTAAGGTTCCATTACTTATAAAATAAATCCTCCATAACTGAGTTTTGTTGACTTTCTTTATAATAAAGTCCAATTGCACTGGGAACATTAACGATTTAATTTTGCAAACTGGTGTTGTTACTTTAAACATATATACCTTCAAAGTGAAAAATTCAAAATCTATTCACACTATTCATATTTCTTTTCAGAATGCGCTCGTTCATCGAGGAGAACGAGAAGAACGATCCGTTGATCAACGCGCCGGATAAGAAGAACAATCCGTGGGCTGAAAAGGGCAAATGCGTTATCATGTAATATTATCGTAAACCACAGAAATACCGCCATAACTATGATAACCAGCCAAACAACAATAATGCAACCCATTCCACGACTCATACCACAACAACAACAACAACAGATACAGCAACCAATCAGTTTACCTTTGAGGACCAGCCTCAAGATCATCAGCAATTAGAGACCCAGAACCGATGTAGCAGCCAAGTTTCGGGACGGGATGAATCCCTAGATCTGGTGCCGGTGGAGATGCAGCACTACAACAACAACTACTACTACTACTACAACTACAACTTGAGCTATGAGCCGCCTGAGGATCGGTCGACGGGCGGCGGGGGGAAACGGGGCGGACGACGCCTGCAGCAGCTGGTGCGAAGGACGCGGTACGAGCTGCAGCAATGGCCGCTGCTCATGCAGCTGCTCCTGTTCGTCCTTTGGCTGAACGCCAAGTTCTGGCAGCTGGTCAACGAACAGGTCACCTACCGCCGCAGGAGGTGGCATTAAATTGAAGGGGCCGAAGGACATCGGGTGTTGCTTGGTATGAGTTCGATCTAGGCTTAAGTTGTGAAAATTATGCCCACAGTCTTACAATCTCATCTCAATAAAATTAATCAAAATGAGCTGCGTAGTGGAAGCAGCGAAACACAGCCCACAGCCTTCTGTGTGAGGAGAGAACAGCCAGAAAACATCCTGAACCCCCAGAAAAACGAGTGCGGACACCAGCTACTCGTAGCTCGATACTCGTTACTTGTTACTCGCTACTCGTTACTTTATCACGAACTCGATCCATCATCACGTGCGCTCCTCATCGTTGTCGATCTTTCGTCGTTCCTCTCTCGTCGTTTTAAGCTCGTCTCTCTTTTACTTCTCTACAACTTTACTCGCTCGTTCATCCCTCTTCGTTCTTTCTAGCTATCGTTCCTAGTCGTTATTGCATGCCATACATCCTTAGAAGTCTCGTTTCTATATCGCTATGTATTTCTTTGCACATCATCATCATCGACATAACATTCCATCATTTAATCCCACCCGAACCGAAACCAAAACCAAAACACAGTAGTCGACAACGCTAACTCAATCATATCAGTCATGAACAAGAAAATGGGCAAGCGCAACTAAATGTTAATGCCTCGATTAATGTAACCCACCCATCATCAGTAGAGTCAACAAGAAGCCTTAGAAGCACCCAGAAATCCCATGCGAAACCAATAAATCTACAAACTTTTATAAAAGGTTTCTCCTGCAAAGCTTGTCCAAGAAACTATCCCCCAGAATGGAAAACCGATAGGAATAGAAAAACCTTTGTTAAGAGAAAACTTTTTCATGATTCACAGGAATGCGATTAAGATCAAGGTCTAAATATTTAAGTAGTTTCGTATATTGAGTAGCGCTTTTTAATTTGGTAGCCAGGCAAACGCTAACCGAGCAGAAATTCAATTGTGTTTACTTAATTCAACATATAGTATATACGATATATGGATACTATAATTTTATATACAACATACATAATTATAGAGTTATATGCTAGGCAAACGAGCTATTTAAAGGCAGACGCTGTAGTTACTCGAGGATGATAATATTATATTTAGTTATAACAAATATGTTTACGATTAACTAGCGGAATATTATTATATACGCAGACCACATACACAAACACTGAAAACCCATACGAGAACAACTAACTATTGAAGAAGACCCCACAATATTCGTATGGATCATAGTTGAACCAGCTTAGTGAAATACTTTAGAGAGATCCACAAAAGTCAGCTGAAACTTTATATGTTATATGCGTAACTGCAGAATGGACTTGACAAACCAAAAACGAACAAGAGTAAACTATATTATATTATTAACTATTATATACGATATTGAATGGGCGTGCCCCAGTGGCCGTTCCCAAAAATAAACAAGGCGCTGTTCAGCTGTTTGAAAGAAGGTCATAAAAATATCTAGCAAAGACGATTTTATGTGTTTACGTTAATAAAATGCTAAGTTCAGCTTATCGCAATGATTTCCATTAACAAGTTAGAATATATTTTCAACATTAGGATGAACAAGAAGATGAGAAGAAAAAGACAACAACCAAAACACAAACACAACACATTCAACACGACACATACTTGAAATTAGTGAAACGACAAACTGAGGTTACAAATAAAATATAAAACAGACCCTTAATGAAAAACACTTCAATTATGTAGCGAATAAAATGAACACATTTAATGATAATATTAAGTTGAGGAACAAAGTAGCAAATTGAGCAGAGAGCGTAAAATTAATTATAAGTAAGTCGCGCAAAACTCTACAGCAACTCGAAATACAACAAGCAGAAAATTAAACTTACAAATAAGAAGCAAACGAAGCAGACGCAAATTCCGAGAAAACGAATGGGAAAAAGGAGAAGTGAAAGGCCCCTGAGAATAAGATGAATCAGAACACAATAGCTAACGAACTAGAGGTAAATCATAAGGAAAACCCAAAGGATCTAGGGAAATCAAGTCAAGCAGCCCAAAGCTACGGAGACTGTTTGGGCCCCAAAGAAGACGTGAAAATGGAACATCATGGTTACGAGAAGCACAAAGTAGCAAGGCGCTACGTCAAGATCGAACATCAGATAACCCGAAGGCTACACCGAGTGTCTCCAACCCAAGAAGACAGAAGCTGCATCTCAAAATTGAGCAGAACAAACACACAAAATTAATATAAGGTATTGGTGGTTACAAAATAATATAAATCGAATATTATATACTCATACGACGAATTGGCATATATAGGGAAATGAATAGAACGATTCAGTGAAGTATAATCAAAAGGCTGAAGACTGGTCATGCCCTAAGGTCATTGCCAGGCTTCACAGACAGGAGGAACGCCTTGGGATGTGGAACAATCAGTGTGGCCAGACCTCGCTTGCATGCTTCATATCCTGAAGGTGTAAACGTCTGCTCGGAAGTTGAAATCAAAGCATAAAGTTCAAGCTAAAATTAATATATATAAATGTATAGTAATACGGAAGAGCAGTTAAGTTTTGTGCCTCAAGCTCAGTCCAGACTGACATAATTTAGCTAGTTCCAATTAGTTCCCGCGCGGAATCATACATGCGTTCAAGAGAGCACTAAGCACGCGGAGTAGCCGGGCATGGAGTCCCGGTAAAATGGGTGTGAGGGTGCCACCAAAATTGAACAAGTGTCGCCGACCAGAAAAGGATAAGTTCTTGAGAAGTTTCCTTCGATTTGATAACATACGATTGTTTCCGACGGTTTTGGCTGGGTAAGGGGCACAGACAAAGCTCGTTCGATAGGTGTACTCACACTTTGTCAGTATTTAATCGAAAATCGTTAATTAATCGTATTACAATTAGTCACAACAAGGCAAACCATAGTAAAATTAATGTTGAGGGTCATTTGTGAAAGGATAGACGGAATGATGGGAAAGTAGAGCAAAGGATAAAGTTAGTCATTTTTCCAGCAAGTTAAAGCATTATCATATGCAACTATATAAATGTTAAATTTAATAATAACTATTAATATCTACATATATATACCAGAGAAATATTACACCAAAAGTTATTGAAAGTTACACGAATCGACGCGAACTCAATTAAAGAATCTAGCAGATAAGTGAAGACAGTTGACGATTGCACAGAAGCAGAAGTACAGTATGTGCCAAAAGCTGCGATAACCGCGAGCTGCCTTGAGCAGAGCATTAGCGATGTCAGGCCAAAGTCGAACTAGGTAAATAAAACGAACACGATTGTCTAGGCGGTAAGTTGGTGTTACAGTTCATTAAAAGCGTTTAAATTATATATGGACAAACCAGTATATTACAGATTAAAGATAAACTCAATATTAAAGATACGCTTTATGGCAAATATTACTATGTGTATTCATTAAATGTGTGTACTATTTACCAGTGGAAAAAAAATTATTGTTACAATTTAGGGTATTAAGTCACGTAATTATTAAGATATATGGACATATAGATTAAGATTCTGAAACTTATATGATATGATTGATTCTTAAACTTGTCGAATTGCGAACTCAGACAAACAAAGTCACGGTGCCGAATTACACCTTAGGCGAAACCAGAAACCAAATCAAACCAAACAAAACAATTATAATTTAGAAAAAAAAAACCAAAGCTAAAAATCTAGTTAGTAAGAGAATTTTAACGCAGCAAAAGCAAAAACAAACCACACGAATAGGTGAGAGGAAGAAGTACACCTGAAGAAAGCAAACACGAAACTCAAATAGTATGATATAACGAACATGTATTTAGCTGTTAACAACATCTACTAAAAAAAGAAATCAACAGTAAGCAAAAGGCAAAAGAGCTATTTGAATAACAAAGCATAAGTATGATTATCATTAAAGGAACTTCTCTAAATAAAAGTAAACTTTGAAAATCCTTAGCGGAGAAAAACTACCCTCTCTATAAAAAAAAAAAAAAAAACTAACAAAAATGTCGATTGTGTTTTATTTCCCCCAATTTCCCGTCAACCGATGAAGCTTTCCCGACCACCGTGCTACGATCCTAACCCGATTTGTTGATGTTGATGATGATTATTGTGCTTTGATGATGATGCTGCCTTGTGCTTCCCCTCTTCCTTTGCCATGCTTTGCCTAAGTTCCATACTTAACGTATTCAGTTGGTATTATTTCGTATATATGCTTTTTGGCCTGTACATAATTGCGCTTGTGCTTCGTTTTTGAGCAAATTTAAATGTATTTCTCCAGATTAACCTCGTCTTCGCTCTGCCGACCGCCAACAACTTTGGGTTAAATCTCATTTCAGCATCCCGGCCTTGACAATTGTACTTGGCGTAAGTATGGAGGGATATCAGGCAGTATAAAGAGCAGCCGGCGACAGTTTCTTAAACTGCATCTGTTGTTGCCAACTTTTGCTTCTTGCTTTCTTGTTAGTTTGCCAGCTTGCCAGTTTGCCAGCTTGCTGGATAAGCAGCAAACTTTTAGGCGGGCCAAGTTTCCCTTTGAATTTCATCAACTTGTTCAATTGTTGCTGAACATGTTTCGGGTAATTAGCAAACGGTGCGTATGTGTGATGAGTTATCCATTTAGCTGAGTTTATTATGGCCAACTCATAAATCCGTTGCCCCACATTCAGTACAAATTCAATTTAAGCTGAGGAAAAGCCCTATGCCTTTTAAATAACATTTTGGTTCAGCAAATTCAACAATCCAGAGGCATTGAACTGTGCCAATGACTGGCATTGCCATTCAGTTAAATCCGATTAGAAAATGGATTGGCAATTGCTGCCCGCCTTTGTCTGCCAGAAAACAATGAGTCATGCGCCTGATTATCAGATTTCTGCCTCAATGGGTTTTAAAAATGTGTATTGTTTCAGATGCTGCTGTTAGAACAAATAAAGATTTTAATTAAACACCAAGCACCAGCGAGTTTATTTTTAGTGAACCTTTTTTCCGTAAATTCTCCAAAATTTGGCCAATAACCTTAAGTGGCTGCCCGATACTGCGCTCAAGTAACTGGCAAATATCTCCATATTTAGACACATTCCATATGCAAATTGAGTTGGCTACGGAGCGGACCGCAAACACGAAAAAATGGCAGCCTTGCCGAATATTTATATGCCAATTGCTGGAGTGCGAAATTAATGCCACCCAGGGGTAAAATGGAAAATAAAACCAGGGGAACTCACTCAGGAGCAGAGTGCTCAGCTTGGAAGTGTTTAAATTACCATGGAGCTTCATAAAAAAAGGGGGACAGGAAGGTACGATGGGGAAATATCGTTCACTCTCCATCGCTACATGGTTATTTATTGCCCATCCTTGGTTTATCAAGTATTCATTTCTCACTCCGTTGAGGAGCCCGGTATGTGGTCTTTTCAAATACGATTGGAAAACCCTTCCCAGCTGGATACACACAAGTACGGCTGCCTTTAAATAAAAGGGTCTAACTAGAATCGAAGGCTGGCTTAATGCATTTAAAAGTCTCCCCAGGGGCGCCACCATTTAGAAAATTTGTCAAATTATTTCACATATTTGGAGGCACAAGCAAATTTGCATTTCAATTGCCCAGCCTATGCAGTGACAATGGTTGAAACACAAAGGCCGGACAATAAATGATCACGAAAATGCCAGTCCCCTGGCAGCGATTATAAATTGGCTTTTGTGCATGCAAATCAGTTCAGTTCGATATTTTACGCTGGCTGACAGTGAAGTAAATGTGATTAATAAATCCATGTGCGAAATTGAGTGATTAAAGTGCACAAATGCCACACATTTAAAGACAGCTGGGAGTCATTTCTATACGCTGTTTGCCATTATGGCGCCTCAGTGTCGCCATTTTCCACGCCATTTGCTTTTGCATCCCCCGTAACTCTTGGCCTGTCCACCCTTTTCTCCAACCCCTTGCAGTGCTCATTAAATGCAATTTCTAATGCAATTGACATGACTGCTGTTCTGCTGTGGCCTTGGGTTTCGGTTGACTTTCGTTTCTGTTTGATTATGAAAATGGGTTGGGGGTTTGGCTTTGCTGGTTTTTAATGAGTACCCCGCAACATGGCCAAAATCACGTCAAGGCCTGCTCTCCTATCCTAATTAACGTGTCAGCTGGGGATTGCTTATCAAGCATACGCAGCGTGTGCCGGCGAAAGCTTTCTCCTTTCTCTGCCAGCCCAGGGGGATCTCAGGTGGGCGAACAGGAGACGCTAAAGCAGTCAACGAACTGTCAGCGCAGGGATTTATCAGTGCTCGAAAAAAAAGAATGTAGGAGAAAAGCGTTGGGAAATCTCACCATGGGGAAAGCCAACTGTTTGACAGTCTGGCTTAGTTACCTGCCCGACTGTCTGTCTCATTCCGACCAACTGACGGACGGACTGGTGACAAGCTGTAACCCAAAGAGCACTCTGAGCACCTCAAACACCCCTCGCCCCCGACACATGGCTTGATTTATATTTTATTTAAAAAAGCAACAGCAAAATTATCAGGCTTCACTTTTGGCCTCCCCCATTTTTTTTTTCGTGTGGTCCTGGCTGTTTTCTGTTGGTTTGGCTTGCATAAAGTTTGTTTAACGTTTATCTTGCGGCCGCTTTGCGCTTTTTGCATGACCGACGAAAGTTTCTTTGGGCAGCCGCCTGGTGATAAAAACGGCCAAAAGGCAGGCGGCCAGGAAGCTGGATTTAAACATGAATAATGAAAGCAGCTGTAAATTGGCTGAGGACCCAACCAACGAAAGGTCACAGCCCCACGAAAATAATCAGCTATGGAAAATCACAAAATCTGGGTAAAAACTTTCGAAAGTTTTTCTGTTAAAGCTTGGTTAATTCAAATGGGCTCGTAAATTCCAAAAGCATAAAAGTAAAAATTTCTTAAGATTCATTTGGGATTCAGCTTGCATTTAATTAAGCTCACCATAAGCGCTTAATAATATTTTTTAATTTATCCTGAAACAAACGCAAGTCAGAACTCGTCTTTCCAACCCATTTCAATGGCTTTTGATATTTTTCCGTAATTTACCGCATTGGGCTTTTGAGACTCGACCGAGTGGAAAAAAATATGGCATCCAGTCAAATCTTATAAGCATTAATTCTCATTAAATTTAATTGCGAGCGACTTGGGGTCGAGGGCAGTCAGGTGGGAGGACGCCATATCCTTATATCCTGTGACCCTTCAGTTGGCCCGTGCTTCTGGCACAATTATGCAAATGACTTGCGGAACGAAGCCGATTAACCCCTTTTGTGTGCCGAGGCGTTGAAGGGTTCTGCACTCAATTACGGTGGAAAAAAAATTATCACCTGCTGCCCAAAAAAAACTGTTTGGAATCCTTCTCCCACCAAACGATTCGCAAATAAAAGCAAAAACACTTCGCACTCAATTGCTGGCAAGTTGGCAAGAAGAGCGCCAAAAAGTTTTCAACGCTAAACTAAACTGGGGAATAAAGAAAATTTGTTTAGCAACAATTTCAAACGGTTCTATTGGCGGGAGTCAAATTAATTTCGAGTGCCAAGTGGGGGCCCGCTCATCCCACCTCAGATCAATTAATTTGCCAACTGCCAACAAAGGCTGAGAAGAAAGGGGAAAATAGTTTGGGGGCAGCCTTAATATGTGGTTGGGTTTATTTACACTCTGCGGTTCAACTTTCCCTGCAATTTGTTGAGTGTTTCGCCAATAGTTCGGTCCTATTCACAGGAGTTCTCTTTGCGGTTGCGGCATTGGTGGAAATAATTATGCAAATGCCTCGAGGGTCTGAGAACGTTCTTTTGAACTGCGAAAATTCGAACTTACTATCTTACCAGTTGAAATTGCTTTTCACTGATTTTAAATAACATTTTTGCTGTTTATGGGCTTATGACAATGGCTTGATAATTGCCTAACTTACTGAAGTCATGATAACCAGAAAATGATTTAATATATGAAATCATTAAATGTTTTATTGGCGTATACCCTTTTTCTCTAGATTAGCATATCCTTTTAAATAAATCCAGCCTGTTAGTCAAAAACGAAGCAAGTGTCATAAGACCTTAATCAGTTTCAAAAGGCACCTAAGCGGCAAATCGGAGATTACAAAGCAACTAAATTGTTACAAAATTTGTTCCATTTTCCATCAAGGCCTAAAATAATATTGGTATATATTTTAATCCCATATTCCGCTCACACACGCACACACACAGACCAGTCGAGTGTAAAAAGCCCCAGCAAAAAATCCGATTACACACCGTAAAAATAAACGCATGAATGAGGGAAAAATTCGCCCACACAAAATCAGCAAAAAAGGGAATAAATTCAAAGTGACGTGTAAGCCAAAACTATTCACGCATAAGCCCAGAATTCCCGCAAATAACAAAGGCGGAAATCAAGAGCGGGCATAGACGATGAATACGTAACTAGGGCGCCGCAGAGTATGCAACGAAATTTTAGCCAAATTTAGAAACAAAATCTAAAACGTGCAACGAAATTAAATGCAAAACTCGAGCAGCAGGGTGGCAAAAAAAAGCAGCATGACATTTTTAATTATCTAGAACAAGTGCATTTAGCACACACACACACAGACAGACAGAAATAGAGACGCACACTAACACTAGTACAGGCAAAGGGAAAGTGAGAACAAAAATCGTTGCATACTTTGCGGGCTGTTGGGTATTTAAATGAATTTCGTT